AAAAAAAATAAAAAAAATAAAAAGATGTCCTAATACTCTCCTACATTTTATTAACTTTATGATTTTAACTTTTGTATTTCGGACTTTATTAGCAGATGGTATCCACCTCACATTATTATGTTCTAGGAGGGATAAAGCACCCATAACTGAGGGTCTTTAAAGGCATAACTGGGCATTAGGCCAATTAGAGAGGAATAAAGCAGTAAAGGATGAGGGACTGACTGCACCTGTCTCTCCTGGGCCTCACCTCCTCCAAGAAAATCCCACAGGCCCTCACAATCACCACATCCCCGACTGATCCCAGCATCTACCTCCCAGCAGCTTCACACAACTGGGTGAGAGCTCCAACCTCTCCTTGGTTACCCAGGCGTTGGGTACACTTGGTGTCCCTGGTGTTATCCTGGGGTGGGGGAGGGGGGAATTGGAAAAAAAAAGTATTCATTCATAACATAGCATTTATTAGCTTCACAAATATTTATTGAACTCCAAGCACGAGGGGTGCATTAAGCCATAAACAAGACAAAGCCCAGCCTCATGGGGTTTCGGGTGAAGACAGATAATAATTAAACATGCATCAGGTGGTGACAAATGCTGTGAAGAGTAAAGCAGGGTGAGGCAGAAAGGAAGTTCTGAGGGGGCAGGACCTGTCGCAGATAGGGTGGTCAAGGAAGGTTACTCTCATATATGAACAGAGACTGAAATGAGGTAAAGGAGCAAATCATATCTGGGGGGTATTGGGTGGAAGAGACTTTCAGGCTGGGGAACAGCAAGTGCAAAGGTCCTGAGGTTGGAAATGGCTTGGCTTGATCAGAAAACAAGGAGGCCAGGGCAGACAGAGCACAGGTATTGATGGACACAAATAGGGGGCAAGATCACAAAAGCAGAGGTGGGGTGGAAAAGAGCAGATTATGTAGGGTCTTTGGGCCATGGTGAAGAGTTTGTATGTTATTCTATTTGCAACAGGAAGAGATCTAAGTGTTATAGTTAAAGAAGTAACATAAACTTATTTGCTCATCAAAAAGATTACCCAGACTTTGCTTGCCAGTATGATGGAGTAGCTAGTATCTGACTAACTCCCACCAAAATAACTATAAAAACTGAATACAATTAAATAAAAACAACTGATGCATCAGAGAGCAACCAATGCAGCCAGAAGATAAAGAATCATGATCTCAGAGAGAAGGGAAGTGTAATGAAGAGAGCCTGACATTCTGCATGCAATTTCTCCTTAAAGCATTTGCCAACTCCTAAATTGTGCTTATGCTGGAAGAACACTAAGACATCAAGCAGAAATCAAGAAGAGAGTTGCTTCCAAAAGAGTAAAGAGCTAAGAAGAGAAATTGGCAGTTGTACAGTGCTAGAGAAACAAGAATTGGAATTCAGGGCCTGCCTAGGAGGAGGCATCAGGTAAACACCTCACGCTCTCACATGAGAGTCAGGAAAGGCTACACGCCAGCAGATGGGGCAAACCGAAAACAGACCAGGCTTGACTGGATCATGGTGATCTGTCCATACTCTATCTGCATCACAGAAGAAAATTCCATCTTTTCTAAAGGGAGATAACACAAGCCAGAAAGTGCAATTTTTATACACAATATTCATATTTTAATTTAAAAATTACTAGTCATGGCGCTGGCCCGGTGGCGCAAGCAGTTAAGTGTGCGTACTCTGCTGTGGCAGCCTGGGGTTCGCTGGTTTGGATCCCAGGCGTGCACCGATGCACCACTTGTCAAGCCATGCTGTGGTGGCATCCCATATAAAGTGGAGGAAGATGGGCACGGATGTTAGCCCAGGGCCAGTCTTCCTCAGCAAAAAAA